TGTACCAGTTCTGTTACGTCTGGCTCGGATGCAATGGTCTGTCGAATGTTATCAGAAAGGCCCGAGGGCCGGTACGGCTTGGGGAGTGGTTCTTGCGCTGCGGAAAGGATTGAACAAGTGCACAGTCCGATTTTTCCGCCAATTTGTTCATAAAATCTTTGCTCAACAGTGGCGGCGCGCCCATCCTTGCCAACAATCCCATGAAAAGGTCCATATCCCTGAGTGCCGTATCGGTTCGAAGAAGCTAATTGGAATTGCATCTTTACATGCTCTCGGCGTAGGAGGAAAGACTAGATAAAGTAGACATAGCCTCCAACCTCTGCTACTGCCAGAGTAGGTTCGGAAGATTGACTTACGTGCCTTCTCAGTTTCCTAATAGCTGAGTCGTACGCAGTATAACAAGACTACCTTGAGCATTCTGTGGGGCAGGATGTCTTATTACTCCGCAAATGGGGTGTGATTGTCATTTTTCATTTCTAATCCACGTACTCCGTACCGACGTTGCCATTTTTCTCAGGCGTCCAAACCTTGTGGAGACTCCCTTGTGACTAAAACTAGGCCAAAGTGATAAGCAACTCGGGGATGCACGCACCGAGAAATATGTCTCAGGTCTTCAGGAAACCTTCTCGCACCGATTCAGGGTAAAGGAGGCCTGCTACTAAATCTCGCACATTATGTATTGCGTCAGAGTTCTCCACCATAGATAAATCTAGTCGACTGCCCAAACATATGTGTAGTAAATGGAATAAATGAAAGCAAAAATTGAGATATTGACGACGTTGATAATTTCTATCCTGTTTCTCCGCGTATTCCAGAAAACTGGCTAGTAACTCCGAGTGCAGTAGTTCCCGTTATCCAGAAGTCATTCTTTAAGTCCACACGAGTCCGGCCACCATGTCCAGATTGCCTCCTCGAGACTTGACAAGATTTGACAAGATTTCCCCTTTGCGCTAATCAGTGTGGGCCTTTTGCACTTTTTACACCCGTCGCTGCGAGTTTTTCCCTACGGACTACGGGTTTCGTTTGATGCATTTCCTGTTCTAGACGTACATACTAGTTACGGGTTTAGTTGGCTTTTGACTGGACGTCGACGGAGTAGAATGAAATAGACTGGCGACAATAAGATCGTTGTTGATTTGTCATTTTTGCAGCCATACGGATCATTCCGTGAGAGTCATAGCGTCTAGTACATTGTAAGTGTAAATAGTTAATCAGTAATATATAAATGAGGCAAGAACCAGACCACTGCGTTGCTTTTTCAAAGTCATCTTTCCACTCGTCCAAAAATCTGTGGCGTTTGCTTAGCTGTATCCATTAAAATGGCACCACTCAATATTGGCATTCTTGTCTATGACTATCAAGCCATCGACATCATCGGTCCCACCGATTTGCTGAACTCGTCAAGCAAAGTTTTGGCCGAAAGACTACGCACCTTCATCCCAGTCGACGATGAAGTCATTGAACAAGCTCCAGATTTCATCTTCCACCATATTGGGCTGACCCGTGAGCCTGTTCGACTTTTGACCAGCGCCCTCACCATAGTTCCAAGCACAACTGTTCATGAATGCCCCGAACTTGATTTTCTCCTTATTGGCGGACCTGCGCCTGTCAGATTTCAACTCGCAGAAGAATACGCAGATTTCATCCGTCGTCATGTTGCCTCGGGCAAACTCACTTTTTCTACCTGCACCGGTGCAGCAGTTTTAGCAGCCGCCGGCGTGCTCGATGGCAAATCAGCAACTATCAACAATATCGAATATGATTGGGTCAAAAAGAGATATCCACGAGTTAATTGGACGAAAGAACGAAAATGGATTATAGATGGAAATATTTGGACCGCAGGCGGAGCAGTCGCTGGGATGGATATGTTTTCTCACTGGTTAAAGGAGAATTATGGCCTAAGTGTGCTCACAAATGGTGCCTTAGGTCTAGACTACGAGCCCCGTGATTATGATGGCCTGTTTACTGTTCTGCCGAAAAGATATGACGATGAAGGCGAGCAAATCAGTACACATCACGTACCACTATATACCTAACTGGTAACTGGCGCTAGAAACCCTGAATTCAGGAAAGAATATTTCAAGATTAAGTCTTCCTACAGCAGAGGACCCGCTTTGAGGAGAGCTCTAGAGCATTCAACGCCAGAACACAGTATATAGTCTGTAATGAAGGGCCATATTAACGTTCCTGAATGCCCGGGCAAATCGAGAGAACCATGAAGTGGTTGTCGCGGCTGTGTCTAAACTGTCTTCCACAGCGAGCCACAATCTTCCCCATTCCATCGATGAACCCATCGGATGGCTTCATCGGCCCAGTCGATGGTCTCCAGCTCCTGGGCTCTCTGCTTATCGACGATCCAGAATATTGAATTATGGTCTTGACGAGTTCAAGGAACCTGGGGTAGGAGTGCCTAAGATCGGGACGGCAAGAATCGTAGACACCACGCGGGGTCCTTCAGGCGGACTTCTAGGCTGAAAGCTTTAACGGGTCCGGGACAGCAACGTCCTGCATGCCGAGAGACTCATATAAATACTCTTTTCCCCGCTGAGCCACTGATCGATCTTCAAAGTCCGGGGACGGCGGGCTAGTCTTGCTTGTGGGTGTACCGACGAAATCAATGTAAGTTTCGAATCCTCCCGGGGTCTGCAGGTAAAGACAAGCGGCTGTGTCGCTGTCTGTTTGGATGCTATGGACGGTCGCCCGGGGAATCCACACAAGGGCCCCTTCCTTGGCTGTTTGGGAACAGTCGCTCAAGAAAAAGGACATATTGCCGGAGAGGACGAAAACCATCACGTCCCTTTTGGTAAAGACCCGAGGTCCATGGAGAGCGCCCCTACGGAGCTTTAACTCGAATAAAGAATAGCTGGCCCCAGTCTCTTGGCTCGACGCCAAACGGCCCCAGAGCGCGTTACCATGAAAGACGTTGTGCCGCCTGGCATCACTGATATTGGCCGCAAATGGAAAGATGGTCGCACCAGGGGTCGGCTCGGTTGACATGTAATCCGGGTTGGGCGGATCAACCAATGGGTCACTAAACTTGTTCCTGACTCCGTAGTCGTCGTTCAATTTAGACGTCACCCATCGCGGCGGAAGCCACTCCTGAATGAGGTTAGGAGGAGGGGGTTCTCGCCGCTCGGCGGGCCGAGCAGTCCCCATCAAGAGCATCTCAAAACCGGCGGGGAGGTAGAAGTTCAGAAGTCGAGAATTGGGTTCTTCGACCTTGAAAGAGTGTTCGGTGAGACCGGGTACAGCCACGAAGGTGCCAGCGCGGGCGACAATTCCCGATTTGCCCCCTGCGTTGAACGTCACTTTCCCCTCGACGACGTAGAGGCCCTCGTCTTGAACGTGAGTGTGAGTTGTAGGTCCGGCTCCCGACAGTTGAAGGACTTGGTCGATCAAGACCAACTTTCCATCGGTCAGGGCGCCAGTCGCCATCATTTGCCAGAGGATGCCGATCTGCCAGAAAGCGGCTGATTCGGAGCCATGGGTGATGAAAGGCTTAGAGACGGGCATGGTATCTTCTGCTGGTTGTGTGAGTGCGGCACTCTGCACAATTTGATTCCTTCATCCAGCCAGTACAGTATTTTAAATATTCCTGACCAGTTTTCTCGGAGTCGCGTTTGTCCGATATGTCGGATACATCCTCTCGGCCATAAATTCATCCGTCATTTCGGAAATATTTTGCCATACATCTCACTTCAGACGGATAAAGCAAACTTGGGGTCCGTCAAGTGACAGGGATGGAACTCCACAAACTGACCATGGTACCATTTCAAAAATCCTATTCAACCCCCATAATTACACTTTTCATATCACTTACCGAGCTTTCCAGAGCGGTGTCCTACCATTTGAAGGTCGTGCGATTACTACGGTGCCAGAAGGAGCTCTCGCATAGGCGATGACGTTTTTAGGGTTTATGGTGGCTTTAAGTTAGCCGCCTGGATGGGCTACGCAAGGTGATTGGGGATATCCTCGAGAGCTAAAGGACTCTAAACAATGGCCGTAAGATAAAAATGCTGGAAATATAATGGGCGAGCAATGTCTCCACAGGGGAAACCTTAGACTCATCAATAACATGTTGCCCCGGCCGAATGTAGAAACTGTAACACATCTAGTCCGCTTTAGCAGCACCGCAACAAAGAGACAGCAAAGCTTTACTGGATCTATGTGACATGACTAAAACATTTACACGGTTCTGAGAGATCGCCACGACACAAAAGATATGTGCGTATTTCCACAGGGATGAGGATTAGCAGGTGGAGCCTGAGAAGCGCTTCGGTACGACAGGTGGGAATAAACCATTTCGAAGTACTTTTTTAGCTGGGAGCCTAACAAAAGGGAGATATGTCCATTTTAGAGAAGCCACTATTGCTGATGTTGGGCATGTTCGTATAACTAGCATGTTTCCGTTGTCCGCGAGAATATCAGGTGTTTTCATGACTTACTTAACATTTTGGTAGCAATCCTAACACCTAGAAGAACAAAGACCAAAAATATGAAGTTTACACTCTAACTGGTACTTCGAAGACATGCAGAATGTAAAGACCCAGCTTCATCGATGGAGAAGGAACAATCTGCCCAGAATGTCACGGGAAGTTCAATGTAGCGATGCTAATTCTCTTAGGCTACTGGCCAGAAGCATTAAGTTGGCCTAGAAAGGAACGAAGTCGCCCAGGTATCAGCATATTCCACACAGATAGGGTTCGGCCTTAAATTTCCTCAATTGGAAACCATAGGCCCTAAAACCGAACAATCACCGGGCTTAGGTCTTGTCAACCAAATGGATAAGTAATATGAAGAGCTCTGGGCGGAATTCGCGATTAGGACTTGATTTATGGTGAACACTCCATCCGACGATAGCGACACCGACCGGTATAGCTCCAACTCGCGCGGCTTGATGCTAAAACCTGCAGTAATGACGCGAACCCTTCTTACCGGCGGAAGTGGCTTCATTGCTGCTCATATTCTCGATGCACTGCTCAAACGCGGGCATTCTGTCGTGACCACCGTCCGCTCACGGCAAAAGGCAGAGCAGATCGCAACATCCCACCCGGGTGTCTCGAAGAAAAATCTGGACTTTGTGATTGTGCCTGATATTTCTGCGCCTGATGGTATGTTATCCTCATCCATTTTGGTCAATTTTTCCGGTTTGAACAATCACGTGAACTAACGATTGAAATATATACGATATCCAGCCTTCGACCAGGCTGTCATTTCTGATCCACCTTTCGAGACTGTGATCCATACGGCCAGCCCTTTTCACTTCCGTGTTGATGATGTTAAGAAAGATCTCTTGGATCCAGGTTTGTACCTCGAATTTCCTAAAGACGCGCAGCGCGCTTAAAAGACTACTGCTTATGAGATTGCTTTTCAGCTATCAATGGCACTGTTGGTCTCCTCAAGGCCGTCAGAAACCATGCTCCGTCAGTTAAGCGAGTGGTGGTTACATCTTCCGGCGCCGCAATATTGGACTTTTCCAAGCCTCAGACGTATACTTTCACAGACGTATAACTCTATCATTCTCTGAAACTTATACCCCATACCCACGCTAACCGTGACCAAGGCGGACTGGAACAACATGACCTGGGAAGAGGCTATTTCCAACCCCCTCAATGCCTACCGTGCGAGCAAAGTTTTCTCTGTAAGTTTACAGTTTTGAAGCTGGGTTTTACCACCACGCTGATCACTCCCGTATCTAATTAGGAGAAAGCTGCGTGGGATTTTGTGGAAAGGGAGAAGCCCCAATATTCTCTCGCAAGTGTGAGTTAGACTAAAAACGCCGTGACGCTGTTAAAAGGGTTCAAAGAATTTAAGACTTACACATTGTTACTTATCAGATAAACCCACCCATGGTCTACGGTCCGGTAGTCCATTATATCAATGACCTTGATGGACTGAATACTTCCAACGAGCGAATTCGGGACATTGCCTTTGGTAAAGCAAAGGATGGCTGCCCATTGACTGGGGTATTCCTATGGGTGGACGTTCGTGATCTGGCATTGGCGCACGTTCTGGCAATGGAGAAACCAGAGGCAGCTGGCCAGCGGTTCTTGGTTTCTCCAGGACACTATTCCAACAAGGACATTGTGAAAGGTATCTGGGAAGCATTCCCTGAACTCCGGGAAGGTTTGCCGATGGGAGACGCATTGACACCTGGTGCGTTTCCGCCCGAGGGATGGTATGGATATGATAGTACCAAGTCCAAGAAGGTTTTGGGCGTCACCTATCGACCATTGAAGGAGTGCATTATCGACACGGTGAATAGTCTTAAGCCATTTGTCAAATAAAGTCGAAGACGAAGAAGATAGCATTTCAACTATGAGTAATATCCAGCTTGCTATAAGAATGCATTGGAGTTAATCGTTAGAACCTTCTTGGGAGCGACGACGAGCCGCGAGACGTTAACCTATCATTTTTTTGAAACTTCTGGCTACACGCTCCCTCTATGATATGCATATGAGTTTGTTGGGTGTTGGGATTAACAGCCCTGTTTCCTTTGCGCAGAGTGAACTTCAGGGCTGCGTACCCGGCGTTAGAACCTTTTGTAATAATCATACCTAATGCAGAGGTAATATGGAGATGTGGAGCTGTCTACTCTCCGGAGCTATGGAGAGGTGGCTCAGTGGGACAATATCAGCCAAAAACGCTTGATGGGAGCTTTCCATCGATCGGAGCGTTCATTCTAGTCAAACTATACATAGTATGTGGTCTTTCCGTAAGTATGCAGGCACTGATGGTTCTGACCAGAAAAGTGTAGGTACTGGCCATTGTCGTTCTTTATGCGAAGATAGTCTGGGTAAGCCTAAGGAAGTATGTAGGATACTAGAGACCCTCTTATGTACTCCCACGGTCCTACCATCTGCATTCAGTCTGTGAAGCTCACCAATGTTGCACCATTAGTTTTGATAACGGGTCAAGTTCTGGGTACGACCGTAATGCGCGACGGTGGGGTCAAATTAATGGTAGGGGCCGGATAAGATACTGAATTTGTCTTGTCTCAACCATTAAAACTGCGCATGGGTTATAGGGTGTTGTATCGCAAGGACAATGCCGTCCTATAGCGAGAGCACTCCGCGGTACTGCCGTCTTGCTCGGCGTTGCTGATGCCTAATTCAGAACTTGCATCTCGATCGGACATAGGAGGGTACGATATCGCCATCACCTATAATTAATATCCGTGAACAAAACAATGCCTAGCTGGGCTGAGGCAGTCCTTAGGCTGACTGGTGGCATCGGTACCGATCTTGTCTACATCGCCGGCTCTGGCACAATTAAAGGGTCTGTTAAAGCAATGAGGCAAGGGGGTGTCGCGACCGTGGTTGGCATGCTCACCCAAGCCAAGGACTAGGGGCTCGTGCTACCGTTGTTGGCCGGACCCAAAACTTGTGAATATCTGCACTCTGGATTTCCACTCTCACACATAGCCTGTCCCGTTGACTCTATCACAGTGAGAGGTGTGTTGGTCTTCAGCAAGTTGAGCTTGGAAAGGGCGGTGGAATTGGCAGCGGAGTTCGATATACACCCTCACGTTGGCGAGGTGTACGCGTGGGAAGATGCAGCCAAATCATTAGAACGTCTCAGAAGTCAAGACTTTGTCGGTAAAATAGTAATCTGGACCTAGATGGTGCCAAAGTGAATCCCTAAGATCTCTTTACAACAGCTCTATATCAAATTTCAGCCCCGATCTCACAAACCTTAGGACTAGTATTCATTATTAAGGGAAACTAGTGCTCTGGTTGCATATACCTGTCAGGATGAGAGCTCTGGTCGGCAAATGCTGCATTTTGTCCTCCTCGCTCAAATGGTCGAGGTGATCCCGAGTCGAAAAAGGTCATGCACCTGACACACCAACAGCCGCCGAAACGTGCAGTCCTCACCACAAACTTCCAATTTACGTAGCTGGCGCGGGTAATTGGAACCTGCTGAGGTCCCCTTTGGCTGGAATTCCATGGTCGAGGTTTTAACCAGGACTGGCCTTCACTCGTTGGACCTGGCCGGTAGCCTCGCAGCTATATCCTTCATCTTGACGAGCTGGCGGTCCGCCATCTCTAATCGTCAGAGGTCGATGGAAAGCAAAACTGCCGTAGGGTCCTGCAAAACCGCAGTGAAGGGAGATTCCATCCAATCGATCTGGCCTATCACATGACGTCATACAGGTGTTCTACTCTGTCCCCATTGACTCGACGATGCCTTTCATACTATCTCCGTAGACTATCTCCGAACCATATTTCGTTGAGATTCATTCTTAGCGTGGTCGGAAACCCCGACCCCCGAGAATCCTCGACAGTAAGCTGACGGTCCAAATTTAACCTACTTCTCTCACTTTCTCCAACCGTCATTCTCCTCTCGTCTATAATTAATTAATCATCCCTGTCCCTTCCCAGCAAAGGATCGCTTTGATTGACAACGAAGCTCCAATTACGGCCGTGTCATTTGATAGATTCCTCTACGGTGACAATTGAACCTGTCACTTCTAGACCCTACATAAGCAGGCATCCAGATTCCGGTGACCGCTAAAACGGCAAAGATCGATTCGTCGACAGGCCTTGTTACCTCCGATGAGTCCGTTGTCATTCGCAGGTTCCATTCATTCACTGTGCAGAGCAATTCCGCTCCTGTGTATTGACGTCGTCGGCTGCACCGTGTCACTATGACCACCCCCACCACAATCGAGGTCAACGGTGTCAGACTCGCCTACCGCCAGTCGGGCCAGGGCGAGCCGTTGGTACTCGTGCACGGCCACATTTCCGATATGAGGAGCTGGGCGGCGCTCGAGGAAAGGCTGGCCCAGTACTTTTGCGTGTACGCGTACAGCAAGCGGTTCGCATGGCCTAATGAGCCCATCGCCGAGGGCGAGCCTCAGCCGTGGGAGCGTGACGCCGACGACCTGGTGGCGTTTGTCCGGGCCCTCGACGTCGGATCGGTCCACGCCGTGGGCAATTCCTCCGGCTCGACAAACATCCTCTGTGCCGCGCGTCGAGAACCTCAACTGTTTCGGACGTTATCGTTGGAGGAACCGCCGCTGATTACGCTCTTTTATCCCACGCTCCCGCCGACCCTGTTCGATACGCTCTCGTTCCTGTTCCGCCATCCAGTCTCCTTTTGGCCTGTGACCGTCTACGGGGCGACCACCATCGGTCCGGCCATCGAGCACGCCAAACGCGGCGACGACAGCCGAGCATTCACGACCTTTGGCAGTGGCTGTCTGGGCAAGTTTTGGACCGAGGCCATGGCCAACCAGGACCGCCGACGACAACTCGAGGACAATGCCAAGTGGTTGTGTCACTTTTGCCGGTACTCTTCATTGCCGGCTTACACGCCGCAAGACGCCCGAGATCTCAAACTGCCCACGTTGGTCCTGACGGGGACAGAAGGTCCTTGCTTTCAACGTTATATCGATTCCGAGTTTGTGCGCCTCTGCGGGTCTGCGAAGAAGAGAGAGGTACGAATCCCGGGTGCTGGACATTTGGTGCACGAAAATCAACCGGACCTGGTGTTTGACGAGGTGATGAAGTTCATCTCGGAAATCAGGGCGACCTAATACCGCACGTTCATATGTCCATTGAGACCCTGCTGAGAAGGTGGACGACTTTTAAAGACCTGAAGAACTGGAGGGGGCAGAGCAACTGAAGGAAGAATTTCTGTCGTTACGATATGACATCTCGTGCCTCGAAAAGAGGTGGCATGCCACCTTGAACCTAGTTCACCCAAGTACCGACCCATGGAGTGGCCCGACAATTGGATCTAGAGTGGTACGAGGACTTTAGGTTTCCACCTTTCCGCTATTGACTATCGCTGTGTCTTGATTAATAGGTAGGTAGAAAAGTCCTGGGAGCTCATTTAAAATCTGGGCGCATTGTAGACAATTTCCAGCGATGATGATGGGCGGCAAGCCATCTAAGCCACTGCTTTTTATGCGGTAAAGCAGAGTTGATATATGGTCGGAACTTCGTTCGGTACGATTGATGGGACGGTGGGACGCCTTTTGACACCTTCAAGGCACTCCTCCAGCCCAGAATATCGTCCGACCAAAGACCTTTGTTGTAGGAGGACGAGCTCCCACCTCCACACGGTCTCCGCCGTGAACTCTCCGAGAAACGGTCTGGCCATCTCAAAGTGCCAGGAGGAGCTCAACAAGGCGGTGATCCTCTCATGAACGACGCGTCGAAGTCCCGAAAATCACCCTAAAATCAACCTCTGCCCCTCACGAAACACTCGACATACAGCCCCAGTACGTGGGAAGGGATTGGCGCCCCTTCCATGTACGCCCACGATGGAGAACGTACTTGAGTCTCTCGTTTTCGTGCCTGACTGCAGTTTACGGTGCCAGAGCGTGAAGAACACGCGACGAAGAGGCGGAGTCAACAAAAGACAGACAATCAACATGAAATCACTGCAATCACCAAGGAGGCGCATCCATCTCCTCCATTCCTTCCATCAACAAGGCGTCGACACCTCGAAAACTACCCTCCGAGCCTCCTGAAACACCCAACATTACAGCCCCGGTATGCGGGAAGAGAGTGGTACCTCTCATGTACATGGCTTGACGGAAGATGGACTTATCCACTCCGTCTTCCAGCCCGACCATGGTTTGCGGTATCGGAGAGAGCGCACGGCGAAGAGACGGAGTTGAAGGGCAAGAGAAGGTTCATTACACAGAACAATCACACCAGACAGAGGAAAACACAGTTTGAAAAGATCCCCATATTGAATCATCCTATGACTACCAACACCACCCATAGCTCGGAACAAATCTTCAAGACACGTCACATACTGCCACTTGTACAGCTGGCCGACATCGCGTCACGCCATCCACGCGAAGGACGCCGTGACGAAGCGTCCGGTTGCTGATGGGTGTCTCGATCGTTAAGAGCGAGCCCAGACCCGAGGGACATCGACGAGCATGCCCCGGACACTTCAAAGTACTTCCACTCCGGTCCCATCGGCACTTCATAAAGCGTATTACCAAACAAGCAACTATTGCACGGGGCAGCCGACCGCATAGGTAGCTCAGCGATAAAGAGTATAGACATACAGAACAAACTGGACGGGCACCGTGGATCACGTCCGGCGATCACGTCCACGGTACGCGCATACACCCGCGCAGACGAGTGAATATGTTAAAGATATGAGATTATGCTCGGGCTCGAGATGTTTGCTCATTATTTTTTTCGTCATTTACATCTTCACAATCATGGCTTCCCATCTTGCACATATATATACACGCTCTCAGAGGGAGATTCCGCAGGTTGGAGATGTATTAACAAATGGTGAACAAGAAATGACTAATCCTTCTCCTTGTCATCTCCCACATCGGAAGGTATCTGGACTGAATCTTCAACACCTATCTCAGTAAACATCCCGTTTCTTGTCCGTGCTGACCCGCGTATAAGCTTATAACTGAATGTTCTTGATGCCAAAGGTGATTAGAATGATATTGTTATGAAGTACCATTGCCAACTTCTCTAGCCACTGGTGTCTTCTTAAACGAGGAGGCGTAATCCCTAAGCAACTTCTTCGTATCTTCTCTTGCCGCAGTACCCTCAGCACTAATTTCACCGGCGAAATACTCAGGGTCGCTTGATTGGGATGTAATGCGGTTGGGACTTGATTTTGGCAACGAAGTTCTCTCTTCTTTGGAAGCTTTGTACGAACTAAAGTCAACCTCGGGAGGCAGATCCATGCCGATAGCCTTTTCGAGATCAGCCTTCGCCCTTTCACTAGTATAATTCTCGATAATTGACGATTTTGTTGGAGCTGACGAAGAGTGCGTTGGTTTTTGTTCCATGGTTTGCGCCGATCGGACACAATAAATGACCCCAGCCCTTTAATCGGAGACAAGTTAGCCCATAGGTATACATACAGTTCAGAGGATGTCAAACGGGGATGTGCACGACATGAGTTGATTAGTCACATGTTCTCGTGCCAAGAGGTAGTGCATGTCGTCATTCAAAGGAATAATCACCCTTGTCTGAGGCTAGTCACAGCGAAAGGAGATTGTATCCGACGTGTTGTGGATTGCCTCACAATATTGTTGTGAGACGAGGCTATATACTCCCCGTTCAAGAGCGCCGTGGAAGTAATGCTGGAATTTGTAAGCGAAGGGAACTTTCTAGCATGGAAGTGTGGAGGATGTGCAGGTTTAATGATAAGTCGCCACCACAACTTGACTTCCCGGGTGCAAATCAAATGAGCATCGACGCTGAAGAAGGGTTGAACTTCGCGTGCGCATGAAACCTTTATGCAAGTGACTTGGTTTGCCACCCACAGGCACACATTTTAACTACGTGCATTCCATTAGCAGGAGTCGGAAGTAATCAAGTTTCTCCACCCATATAGGCTGTGTCTCAACTCGCTTCATGACCCTTCTAGAACTTTACATCACGGTCAGTAGGTTTCTTGATCAATACGAACGGGTCCGTTCCTTCGAAGCCTGTCCCTTTCTTCTCTATATAGCCCTGCTTTTGCCGGCATGAGGGCTGACCTATCAATTACCTTTTTTCTTGGATATAATATAGTATTTTCAGCGCACAACCTCCTGGACAATCCCCGCCTTGGACGCTTAACCACCCCTCCTATGCATCAGCGTCACCCAGGCCAGTTAGAGTTTGAAGCCAATTCCTTGGGTTTCCATTATACCCTGCGTTCAGCGCAGAATGATGCACAGCAGCAAAACATTGCGTATGTCCCCGGGCCGGATTCTGCAAGACGAAGGCTGAGCGTGTTCGAGTTTGTGGACAGCACAGATCCAAATGTGAGACGTGCTATTCAACGGCATACCGCTTACCATTCAGCAGCCAAAAGACGGGAAAAGCGGTCGCGATTGTTGGATCGTTCGAAGCAAGCACGGTATTTGGAATGGGGGAGACGGCCTTGGATGATTCTCGAGGCAGGCAGCTTAGATGGCAGCACAACCAGTTCCGAGTTAAAATCGCCTGCATCGTCGAACTCTGACCGCCTTGACCTGGCAAGCGTCTCCTTCAACAACTCTGCATGGGGCACCTACCCGCCAGGGTCAGTTACCGCTCAGAGTGACGCTGCCGTAAACTCATCTATGATGCCGAGGACAGCGATCTCTGACGAAGATCCAGTCCTGCAGTACCGTGGATCTGACCAACACTTGAGTACTATCTCCCACCCGCAGCAACTAATTACCGGTTTGGGCTCGGTGAATTTCTGTCACCATTATCGCCAAAGGGACAGCTTGGATAAGGCGCTGGCATATATGCGAGAGCACCAAGCCTCACGGAACCTCTTACTAGCGTACGCTTACGCATCAAGATTGCGGTTGAACTCGTGCCCTGAAAGCGTTCAAGACCGAGTCGATGCCCAGACACACTTGGGATGGGGTATAAACATTCTCTGGAAGCAGCTTCATGGGGCTGATCGTGCCTGTTCCGACTCCAACATCCAAGCCGTGCTTCTCCTGATGGTCTACACACCGGATTTTGGACAGACTAACGAAATTCGACTTCATACGCACGCGCTACAAACCATGATTGAGCAAAGGGGGGGCATTGGTGCGTTCGGACGCAACCCTGCTCTCCAACATCAATTGCGATCTATTGGCCAGTCGAGAGAGCATCACCTTACGTTCGACTGTGAGCCGTCGTGTCCAAGTAGGTTGAGATTCTCAAGCAGATTTGATAGTCTCACTCTGTTGAATGGGCTCAAAATGGAGAGATGAAAGCACCATTATTAACGGTTCAAGGGTTTGGAGCGGGCTTTTCTGTCGCCGAGCACCCTGGGTGGTTGTCCGCAGACCCGTATCTTCGAATATCCCTCCTTTTGATCTCCAGATCCGCACTGAGCATCGCCAAATGTGACCTCCTTGATCTTGGTCCCCAAGTATGCGACAGAAGGGCGTACAACGGGCTGTCTGTGGACGAATCGGTGACGAAGCGCCGGTGACGAAGCGCGGTGTATCCGCACCGTCAAGTTCAAGGAGGCGCATACTGGTGATTGGAGGCTTGTGTCAACGGAAAGGTAAGTTACAGCACGGTCCGATGGAATGGCGTAGCGACACTTTCTGAACTCGACGTACTGAACAAGAGTGACAGCAAGTTATCTCAAGACATGGATGTGTGAGCGGCTTAGGCCGAGGCGAAGGACGACGACATCATCAACAGACCAGCGTTCGACGAGGCGCGCAGACGGTGTCAAGGTGGACAGCCGTATGTCTGCAGCCTGGAAGCGGAAAGTGGTTTGCTCAAGCGAACTGCAGCCTCCGACATTGTCGTCCGCCCATGGCGATCATTTGGCTGCGCAGAAGTCCAGGCACGCCAAGCGTTCTGCGCCACTTCTTAACCCACGGCTAAGCTCAACGACATGGAACTACGCAACATATGGCATTCATTTCACCTTAGTCGATTCTGAGATTACAATTATGGACAGCTACAGTACAAGGAATCATACTCCGTACAAATTGCGATCAATACCGAGGTTTTTGTAATGGGTATAAACGCATGACCATTCGCCAGGTCTGGTGAATCTACAGCCTCTTCTGTGAAGAGCACTCTCACTCTACGAGTCTTGGGCCTGGATTTTTACCTGGATTTTGCTTGTGGTGCTATAACTGCGAACCAACGCGATCGCACCGCAGCTTCCGATCGTTCGGGAAATTGGCCGAAGATCCACGACCACGACTTTCCCAGGCGCCGCCATTCCGTCAAATTGTTATCCTCGTCTAATGTCCAATGGCCTCGCTTCGTCGGCCGGGAGTCCGTTTGATATTCGCTTAGGCAAAAGTCGCTGCTTGTGTCTTGATCGGGTGACCGTCTCTCTCTCCTCCTAGCCCGGTCTCGTCTCAGATCATCCATACCGTGAGCATGCCGCAATATCGTTGCCGTGAGGAGCCAGCAACGGTCAGCCAGTGGCTTGAGAACGATATTGGCCAGGTTGTCCGGGTGGACACCACATTCGAGGGCCCAAGCCGCAGGTGAGTGGAAGAAGTCCTGTAGGCCCGCCGGACTCTCGATAACGGCGGTCATAAAGGCAGCGTCAGTAGCTGTCACAGGTTGGACGCTCATGATTTTCAACCCATCATGGTGCTGCTTCTGCTTCTGCTCGCGGTGGCTATCCAAGGGCTTGTCGGTATTTAACCGCGTGGCTGGACTTGGGGAGGGCTCGCTTAAGGTAAAATCAGGTCCAGTCTCGTATTCTGAATCTGCGTCACGATCAACGAGAGTCCGCTCACTGTTTGATCCGTGGGCGGACTTATGCATCCCAGCTCCAATAGGAGCTTCGAGCTCAAAGCCTGACTTGTGAAGCTGAACTTCCCTTCCGCGGCAACTCGAGGCAGAGTCGTCGTCAAGCGTTTGATGAACGAGGGTCGGCGTTTTGTTGGTGACCACTTCCACACGCACTCGACGAGAAACCGAGGAGTCATAATCAGCTTCACTCCTATATCGTCGTTTTCGGCCACATTTAACACGCTCGTTAGGTCGCGGAGATACCGTCCGTCGTCTGGTTCTCTTCGGTGTTACCATGACGTCTGCAGACTGAGTGGAGAGAAGATTCCGTTGTGAGGCCGATGAGGGATGACGAGTCGGAATCACCACCTCTATCCGGGATTTGTGACGCGAGGATGGCGGGAAGCATTGCTGCGTAGACGGTTCCTCTGTCCGCTTCGACTGAGGGCAGTTTGACTCTATCGTGAGGTCAATGGCGTCAGATTTCGTCCGCAGGTCAGGAATTTGGGAGCGGACCAAATTGTCGCCGCTTGGTGACGAAATGACAACGTCGCAGGTCTCAGCGGCCCGTGAAGAGAAGCTCTGGGCTTGACCGTCAGAATGTTCATCGGACCCGGTCGCTTTGAAACTCTCCAAATCTGGCGGAACACCGGAAAAGAGGCTTTCCAAATCGTCGTCGAGACTCTCAACCAGGCCATTTTTATCAATCAGGGCGGGGGAGAAGTCGTCAAAAAGGTAAATCTCTTCCAAAATTCGCCCGTCATCAGTATTGACGTCGTGCAGAGGGCTGCGGCACAGATTGTAGAGTGAAGCCTCCGAGGTCTGATCTAGTAAGCTTCGCGGTTCTAGAGTGGCCTGTCAGCGATTTCACTATCGGTAAGACCAGAGTGGCCTAAAAATCGTTCGGCCTTACCAGAACTGCCTTCGTCGCTTGTGTGAGAGTGTTCGTGCAGCCTAATTTTTGGAACTGGCATCACGGCCTGTGGCTCGACTTCTTGAATGCATTCTCGGCGCGAGGAGGTGACAAAGTTGGCCGGCGCTGCACGAGCGTGCTGCTTAGAGCGTACCCGAGGTTTGGAAGGGTCCTCGAAGATGATGCTGTCCATGTTGGAAATCGCACGCAGAATATGGTGCACAGGAATATTGTCCTGAACGGATGAAAGACTGCGAAGCCGAGATGGTCGCCGTCGGAGAAATTGGGAGAGCTTGCGTGATATAGGCACGAGGACCGACTGGCTAGGCATCAGGTGTATTGGACGCTCTAAGGGGTTACGCCGCTACCGTGCAGGCCGAGGAAGAGATTCCAAATCCCACAACTACTCGGGGAAAGATGACTCCCTTTTCGGACGGCTAAGTAGGAGAGCTGAATTTTCCCCCCTGTTGTAATGCTCTTGCATGATCATCCCTGAAAGGGTCACAAATCAAGAGTCCGCCTCCACCATCTTTCCCTGGGCGGTGTACGCGTACTTTGACGGGGGAGTTGCGGACCCAACGGCTGCAACTTGCCCCTAACGCTTCGTCCAGACAGTACGCGGCCACACTCTCTTGGAGCAACCGATCACCCACCGCCGAGGTGATCTGTCGCACAGGCAGACTGCGGTGACAGAAAAATATCGGGATGCCAGCATCGGACGAAATCAACCGATCGTCCTCTTCCATGCAAGGAGGTGTCTCACCATAGAGCGGGACGGTCACGCCGAGAGGCTGTACAACCCGACCGTGGTGGGTATCTTCGGGTCCTCGAATGATTGACATGATCATGAGTCTGGCTGAGCGCGGTTTCGTCGCATTTACCAGACGGGCAAAGGTCATGCAGATCCAAACATAGCCAGGGCTGTCGCAGCCAGAGATTTGTGGGTAAAACTTGACGAATGGCGAGGTCGAAAAGGAAAGGGGTCATCTGGCCCTCATTGCAACCTGACTACCACCGGCGCAGAAGTCGCGATCACGCGTCCAATGGATCACTGTCGTTGTTACTGTCGCTGTTGGTCTTGCTGTTTCCTCGGTCACTTCACTCAGCGGCTTCCGCAATGGCCTCCTACATACGGGCTGCAGCTGAAGTTGCTGGAACCGGAGGCCGTACAGAAAATCCGGATGTGCTCGACGTGCTTGGGTCGCGCCCTTAACACTGGATTGTGAGAGTTGTAGACACATGCGTCGAGTATGGAGTGATGGTGATCCACAATAGCGTCTGCAGGAATCGCGTAACCCTTGGCCAGCTGGAAGATGGAGCGACGAAATCATTCCCTCAACCCCTGAGACCATGACTTCGTCCAGGGCGGGGCGAGACAGAAGCAAAGGCCAATCGAGCGACAGACCGTCCATCGAAGTAGGCTGACGCTTCCAAACTCTAAACTCCTCAGGCCTCAGTGCGGTCAAGCGGAGAGTGTTCGGAGGGGCCGCGAGGGTCCAAACAGATCCTGGCCTGGTCGGATGATATCGCCCGTTTGCGGAAGGGTGGAAGGTCGTGGTGAGGGAAGACGAGGGTTATTGGACGTCCCAACCCGCAACGCATCATCACGCTCGCAGGCGAGCCCGTCATTACCAGTCACTGATTCAGTTAGTGCCAGGATACAATGCAACCCTCCCGAGACTTAGAAAGCAAAATTTCTGGAGTTACAGGACAGGGCACCTTCGGATGGAACGTTGGTGAGAGGGCCGAAGCCCTCATTGGGATACATTATCCCTTCACAGCCTTCTGTGAACAGGCTAACAGGCCAGCACTGTGCGTAGTACCGAGCAGTGCTTTGTCGGCTCCAAGTAAGAATTGTCCTTGTTGAAATCGTTGATCGCGCAAAACAAGTTCCATCTCGACTCTCTCGAAACCCCAGACAAATCCCTTTCCAGTTTGAGTCACGAAGACCTCGAGAATCAAGGAGGTTGCTCTGACTCATTCCAGCTGCAGAGAGCCCCGATCAGCGCTACTACGAGCCCTCATGCAAGGCGTCTACACGTCAAGAATCCTTGACCGGCTGAACGGTGGAGAGACGTAAGACGGCGCTTGTGTGCGTGGACGTCTTTGACCGAGGCCGAGGGGCTTTGCAGCCAGATTAGCCAGTGAGATCCAACGCAGGCATGGATGCGACCAGGCAGACGTGTCTAACTTTCTCGTTCTGAGGTTCTGAGGGACAAGGGCGGTTCGATCATCGCGGGTAACTAAGTGGGAAGGTGGCTCAGGAGCCGCCTCGGCGACGACAAGTGGTGCGCAGGCATCGCAAGATCCTGGTCGCTGTCGGGTGACGCTTTCCTCTTCCGGGACCGTGGAGGGCGAGGACGAGAGGGCGTGAGGTCGAAGATAAGGAGGCTCGACAAAACGGCGAGGGACGACGTTCTTTTATAGCGAGAGGGTCGACGGGGGTCGGAGGCAAAGCGGCGAGAGGCCCGATCGGTGAGCACTAAACCGCAAACGACCACGCCTTCCCCGAACGGGCGAGCGCCAAACCCGATCGGGACCGTCAAAGCGGCGCCAAACCGCATCGACACCAAAGCGAGTCCCTCGCACCGCGACACAGATTATTTACTAATTACAAAATATTAGTTAAAGAGTATTTAAGCTAGTAGTTATTTAGAATTAATGTTTTAACCCTTAAAGATAATTATTAATAAAAGTATATCTTTAGCTATATTAATATATTTAATTATAGTTACTCACTTTTATTTCTTTATTATAGTTTTATATTATTACTAATAATTAAGAAAAACTAAGACCTTTATTATTTAACTCTCTTTAATCTTAAAACTAAACTTATTTATATTCTAGATATTAAAATTATTATAGGTATACTCTTAGAATTTAGTAATAATTACGTTAAACTATACTTCAATTTTATTATATAATATATTATTAAATTATATAACCTTAAGTTACTTTATATAAATACTTTAAATAATTAAATAATAATTAAGAAAGTAATAAAGCTATTTATAGCTAATTAAAGTAATGATTTTAGTGAAGACTAAATTTTATAATATATATTAAAGATATTTATAGTGTATTAATTTAGCTAGCTTAATTAATAATGCTAATGTAATAAGTAATTTAGTGTATATATATTATAAGACCTATTATATAAGTATCTTTTCTTCTATATTTAAAAGGATTTAGACTATTTTTATAGCTTAAATATATAAAAGTTCTTTAGTAAGCTAACGTGATAGAGTTTAATATAACACATTAAAAGTAATAGTGACAGTATAAATAGACTTATATTCTTAATTTTAATATACTAGAATAACCTTTTAAACTTACTCTTTAAGATTAACTACTTTAAAAGTATACTAGTAATTTATAGTTAATAAGAGTAATAATTAAACGTGACTAAATAGAGTTTTATAGTTTATTACTTTATATAGTTTATTAAACTATATAATACTTTACTAAAATAATAATTTAAAAACTAATAAAGCTATTTATAACTAATTAGTGTAATAATTTTAATAAAGAATAAATTTTATAATATATATTAAATATAGTTATTTATATTAGATTAACTTAATAAGTTTAATTAATAACGCTAAACTAATAAAAGATTTAGCGCTTATATATTACTTAATTTATTATATAAGTATTTTTTCTTTCGCGTTTAAAAGAATTTAAGTTATTTTTATAGCTTAAGAGCGTAATAATCCTTTAAATATATAATGAGTAAAAGTATAGTTTAAGATATTAAATACTTTAGTAGCGACATAAATAAAGTTAAATTCTTAATTTTAAAAAGTTAAGATATAGTTCTAAAGTTACTCTTTATAATTTACTATATTAAAGATATATTTATAATCTATAGTTAATATAAAACTAAGTTAAAGATAGTTAGGCTAAATTTAGTGTGTTATTAGACTATATATATTATTAAACTATATAGTACTCTATATATATACTAACTTAAAAAATTAGAGCTAAGGCTAAGAAATAATATAAGAATAGCTATAGTTATCTACACTATTTATTTATTAATAAATACTTTACTTTAAAGAAAAAGCTAAAATAGAGTCTTTTTTTAAGCTATAAAGAAACTTAATTAACTTATTTTTTTTTAAATAGTGCTTACTTTTAGTGAGGTAAAACTAATATAGCTATATATATTAAGTATTAATTATATTACTATAATAATAAGATAAGTTAGCTTAGAAAAATAAGCCTTATTAACTCTAAACTAACTTATTTTTTTTAGTTATATCTTATAACTATTAATAAGGTTATTTATAGCTATAAGCTTAATTTATTACTTATATATAGCTATTTAATTAAGGTAAGTAAATTTTACTTAAAAGTTTTAAGTGTTAACCTAAAAAAACCTTAGTATACCTTACTTAAGGAGTGCTTTATAGTGTATAATTTTTACTCTAAAAACATAAAGAGTAAGGTATAAGATTCTTAACTCTAACCTAATATTATTATGTTATAAATAAATAATCTATTTATATATAAAGTAAGTCTTAATATAGAGAGTAAGTAAACTATTTATAAAGTAATTTATTTACACATAAAATTTAAGCTTTCTATACTTTACTTTTTCTATTAAGTAATTAAATATATTTAGTACTATATTATAATAATTACTATAAATTTTATTAATATTTTTTCTATAGTTTATTTAATATACTTAATAGTTTATTTAAGCTTACTTTAAACTTTTTTAGTTTAACATTATTTTAATATATATTTATAGTGAATATATATTTATAGTGAATATATATTTATAGTGAATATATATTTATAGTGAATATATATATAAATAAGTATTAAGACTAAGGTTTATTATCTTTAATATATTTATCTTTAATATATAGCTAAATTTTCTTAGTTATTTTCTATCTTTTTTTATATCACTCTTTAGTGCTATATTTAGTATATTATCACTAGTCTATCAAATTTTATTATTTTTTTATTTATAATTTATTTAGTATATTTAAAAGTATTATTAACCTAGGTTTAACATTATTATAAGGTTAATATAGCTTTATAGTAACTAAAGAGTTATAGTTTACCCCTTAATCTTAGTTATAAATATCTAAATTTATTATTACTAAGCTTACTTTATAGCTTTAAATATATACTTAGTTTAATGTACTATTATACACTATATATTAAATATATTTTATACCTATAATTAATTTATATTAATATAATTATAATAAGTATTTAGTTAAAGTGTAATATACTAAAGATATTAAGAGCTAAGTTACTAAGTAAGAGATTACTTACTAAGTTATATACTTATTAAGTTATATACTTACTAAACTTTTAAGACTATATTTATTAACTATTTAAAATAGTATACTAGCTTTATCTATATAATTAATTTTATATAGTATAGTAAATAAATTATTAATAAGTAAACTATTTAGTAATATTATAGTTAATAATATAGTGAGTATTTATATAGTTAATAGAAAGTATATAAGATATATTATAAAGTAAAGCTATAGAGTTAGTTTATAAAGCTTACTTAATACTATAAAACTATATTTTAGATTCTTAAAAGCTTAATTTCTCTTCCTAATTTAGTGGGTAAGCTATATCACTTTAACCTACCCTAAGCTTAGCTTAGCTCTCCCTTAGCTTAGTTTTATCTTACCCTAGCGCCTAGGTTAGGGTAAGTTAAGGGGTAAGTCATAGATATATATAGGCTACGCCTAAGATAAGCTAAAATAAGACTAAGAGATAGATAAAGGGTAGTGAGAGTTAGTGATAGTCTTTAATTAGTCTATATTTATAGTGGTTATAAGCGACTTTTTAACGACGGGAAATCTAACTCTTCTCTCTTTCCCTTTTTCTTCTCTCTCCTATATACACACTCTTCTAAGTGTAACCAAAGTTCTTTAATTACTTAAATGTTTTTTAGTAATGATATAACTACACTATATTAACGCTAGGATAACTGGTGTTAAGATAAGGTAGGAATCTAGTAGACCCTTTAGTGGCTATAGTAGTGACTAAATAAATTAAACTATTATAGGGCTATATAAGGATAAGCTAGTCCCTATTTAGATTGAGGAGAAAAATGCGGACCTTAGCTAGTCTATCTTATCCTTACCATTAGGCTTACTTCTTCGGTTAGCTATAACTAGGTATACACCTATATCTACGCTACTCTAGATATAGAAGCCTAAGGAATAACTTTTATTAGTAGGGAAGAGAGTATATTATGAGAAGTTAATAATCAGCTAGGTAGACCTAATAAATAAACACTCTAGCTCTATATAGATTTGGTAAGAGTAAGGAAGGTTACATGCTTTAAGGATACTTAAGGATGCGTATACACCTAAGTAACCTATAATATAACTAAGGCTCCCTTAATAGCGCTAATATATATAGCATTTATGGCTTAAGGTATCTCCCTTATATAATGGTAAGACTCTTTAAGATAAGGCCTATATATAAATTAAGAGAAAAGAAAGTAAGACTTCTCGCCGCACACTAAGTATTTAAACTAGCTTATTAAGTCTATAGTAAAGTAATTATATCTTCTCTATAAGAGAACTTTATAAGAGATTATTATAAAGGTACTTAGCTTAGTCTATTTAAGATAGAGACTAAAGAACATAAATAATAACTCTATATTATGCTAAGAAGCTTTTTACCTCCTTATCTTATATGCTATAGAATTCCCTAAGGAAACTAACCTTAGTGTGATTAATAAAGCTAATTATAACCGCACTAAGAACTATAAAGTGCGGCGTTAGGTATTAATAGCTTATTTGGTTTATCCTAGAAAATTGTTCTAAAGATACGCTAAGAGTATTAAGTATTAGGTAATTATCTTCTCCTATTATTTAGTTCTCTTAATGACTATGTGTCACATTTATAAGCGCGGTCTAGGCCCCTTAATAGAGACAGTTTCTTATTACCTTTTATAATAGTCTATCCTTACTTCTAATTTTCGTTACTTACTCTTTTAATAACTTAAAGTCTCTCTTTATACTGGAAAAGTCTCTCTATAGCTAGCTATTCTGCACTTCTATTTAAGTACCTAAAGATTTGAAATAATGAATAGAAGTGATAATAGGCATAATATAGTAAGGCTAGCTAATTACTTCTAAATTATCCCCTAGCATTAATGATTTATCTCTACGCTATCTTACTCTATCTTTTATGCGCGAAAGACGCTCTTAATACCTTAGTATTAAGGCTAATTATATATATCATTATTCTAGCTATAATTTCCCTAGTCTAGGAGATATTAAATAATGTAGAGGACCGGTATTTACTAAAGCTACCCTTCTCTTCTATTTAAGCGTAGCTAATCACCCTTGGTCACGTGATAATCCCTAACTTTAGTTACCTTAAGCTCTTCTCGGTATTCCTATCTTATAGGGTTAACGGCTGTTATTATAGCTTTGTCTGCGGCCTGTAGGCTAGGTCTGTTCGTAACACGTACGTACTTAATAACATACTACCTTTTAAAAGAGCACGAAGTAAAAGGACTTAGGGTATCTTTAGTTAAATCTAGTAGTAAATAGAATCTTTTAAAGAGTCTCACTCTGCTTTGCCGTTACCCTCCTAAAGAAGTTATAGTGGACGGTAATGAGAAAGTAGTAACGTAGAAAACGGGGGCTAGAAGAGGGTCTATACATTATGCACGAGAGTAATGGGCTTATTTAGTACTCTATATACTATATATGTATTCACATATCCTCCTAGATAACGCTAATATACTAGATAATGATTAGCTAGTTAGTATACATTATAGATCACCTGTTCCTAACGATAAAAAGTCTGCCTTTAATACCTAATAAACCCTAGTAGTCTCTCCTAAATCTCTCTTGGGGATATTCTGATTTACGTATAACTGAGAAGAAATAATACTCTAGACCATTTAACGAAAGCTAACGCGGATATCTATGCAAGCCATAAATAAGAAGGTAGTGAATTATATAAGGTTAACGCTATCTTCCACTTGTATTCCCGCCGGAGATTGTCGCAGTATTAAATACATCAGCGTTAGCTAGCCTATATAGAGTGTCTTAACTAAGTGATAAAGAGACAGCTATAATAATCGAATGGTAAATCAAGAATTACTATTATAATGGTGATAAGATAATCGTGTCCGTTAATTCTGGGGTATATATTAGTCTTAGTATCTTTAATTCTCGAGTCACTTCTACACTATTTTAGTCTCTATTCCTCTTTATAAGAGAGCACTTTACACGAATTTAGTTAATCATTATTTGTGTTTGCCCCGCGATACCCTGAAGCTCCTCTTTAGTCGCCTCACAATATTAATATTTTTAATAAGCTTCTAGAAGAATTATGTTATCTTTAATGCTATCCTTACCTTATTCTGTGGTGTCTTATGCGAGGGGTTTCAGTGATAGCTAGATGACCATAAGTATCCTTATGTGTCTATCGCTCTTAAAGGACCTATAACTGTTTTACGTTATAGTCTACATAATCTGACCCCTAACTCCATGACCTAAGCCTAATGGCCTTACACCTAATTCATGTTTAGGTAGCTCTCTTAATTCAGTCAGTTTAAAATAGGCATAATTAGATAGTAATATAATAGATAGTAACTCTAATTGGTTATCTCACTCCAATGTTATTTTTATCCCTTTAATAGCCTATAAATAACTCATATAGAGTGGTGATGTCTATGAGAGTGGCGAGGGCGTCATAAACCTAAACAACCGCTAGGAGAGTTATAATTGCCTGTTGATTGCAGAGAAGTTTATCTCTGGACCGAAAACATTAGCGCACTTAAAGCCTAGTCTATCTTCTCTTAGGATATCTCTTAGTACGTTCCTAGGTTATAATACGTTTAAGCGTTCTTAGGCCGAACATAGTATATCATCACCACAAACTTCTTTAACTAGTGTGTCCGGAGTATAAGCCAGTTTAAGAAGTCTTATAGTGATTATGTGTAAGCTATACAGACAAGAGAGATTTACCGCCAAAGAAAATGTGTGCATAAGATCCTGAAATCTTTATATTACCCCTAATAACCTTAATAGAAGGGAATCTCCGCTTAAATTGCTCTAAGGTTTTCCTATAAGAGAGATACACTAGTAATGCTCTCACAATATGGGTAAGATTAATACTTAAGTTTCCCTGTCTAACTATCACTATATTATGATTATATTTAAGAAGATAAAAGTGTTAGCCCTATTAAGTATATATCACTTACGTTTTTTTGTGCAAGACTACACTAAGGGCTTAAAGTGAATAAAGGTTACATAAATTAATGGCGACATCAGACTTAATAAACACGCCTAATGAATCCACTAAGTAATAGTTAAACTTCGGATTCTGCTAAGTAAATAGGGGTTCATTAAACCTTACTACTTAAAAAACTTGGCTTGTGTTCATCCATAAATCCTGATCTTAAATCAGAATTGTATGGCCTTTAAAGATAAGCTCTGTATAGCTCGGGATTATCTCTCGCTATTCTATCTGGAGCGGTTTAGATAAGATAGGGGTTTCTTGCGCTCTTTGAGCTTCTCTAAAAGCTAAGAGCGGTCGAAAGTTTTCGCTAAGATTGGTAGTAGCACATAACTCGCGTGCTGTCGGAAGGTCTATCCAAGGACCTGTCGCGGACGTATCCCTGCCGTATTGACCACGCCCATGACTTTGGTCCTCTCCTCGGGCAGGACGACCTGCGCCAGGAAAACCGTCCGCGGACCTTGGTCCATGGTGGACAACGCCGCTCTGAGTATGAGGAGGAGACATGCAATCTCAAGGGTTGGTGCCATGGGGAGTAAGCCCAGTAAGACAGCCGAAGGCAGGTGAGTGAGTGCCATTGTAGGGAGAAGGCCAAGACGTTTAGAAATCCGGGATGCGAAGAGCGACGACGCGGCGCTGAAGATGAGTGGTACGACCAGGAGAGAGGCAAGTAGACTAATGGGCGCCTGGAAGCGCGAATGGAGATAAAGGTTCACGAGGGTGCTTGAAAAAGGTCAACTGAAGTCGGAAAAAGGGGTTCAGAGGAGAGAAAAGGGGACCTACAAGGCAACCATGCCGCTGGCAAACGAGTCAACCGCGAAGAGTAAACAAAGCTTCCAGATAATTGATCGCGTAGGTGCCGACAATTCTGGGACAAAGATGCACACAATACTTCTTGCTGTGACTATCCATGGAACCTTTGACTCCGAACTGGCGTCTTCCAACGGCAACATGGGCTCAGTTTCTTGCTGTCTCTCTGGCCGTCGTGCCTTGGCCTCAGAAGCGTCGCTCAATTTCAGAGCTACGGCGAGCTTGACCAACCCAATAAGCGCGTACATGCCAGCATAAAAGTGACGCGATATGACGCTTGCTCGGTCCAACCTGCAAATTTTACAAGGGCTGCCGTGATCCATCCCGTAGATAAGGTGCCAAACGACGCACCTAGAGTTCCAGCAACGATATGCCATGCAAAGATGTCCGACATGTTCTGGGTCGCGGAGAGAGGGGCCAGCATGCCTTCCTCAACTGCACGAAACGGTCCAATTTCGTTCCCGGACGGACTGATGACGCCGAAGACAGCCGCGAAGAGAAGAACCCAATAGTTGCTTGCCAGAGCGAAGATAATCCCGCTCGCTATCATCAGGCCGGACCCAAGGACAGTAGTGCGACGTCGGCCTAGTCGGTCAGCCCAATTCGTGAGAGCCATGCTGAGGAGCACATCGCCGATCAACGTGAGAGTCATGAATAAGCCTACTCGAAGCTCAGAGTGGCCAAGGCCGGAGAGGAAGACGGTGAGGATCACTCCAGTAGAGCCGAAAGCTGCAGTTCGAAGAAATCGCGAGAGGTATAAGAAATGAACATCCCGGGGGGCATCGCGAAGTGTCGGTATTCCTGACAGAGAGGAAATGCAAGATCGATTCATGGTGAATCATTCAGCAAAGCTAGGACAGATAGTCACTTCTGCAATCAACGGCGGTGGCTAAACTGAACGAGATATATTTCGGGACTAGGACTGCAACGACTTTCTTGTGAGGTGATGATGGTCGGAGATGTTTTTCAAGAATATGAACAGCTACCCTGCGGAGAACCGCTTGGCACCCATTTCGCTTGGCTTTATCCAAAACGGCCTCTTCGGTCATAAAGCTCTTGGCATAACCAAAATTAACTTAAAAACGCTAGGGCCCAAAGTACACTTCGTATCTAAAGTCACTCCGCCCTGTCGATAGTTGTGATAGTTGTGAATAGAACAGCCAGATTTGGCCAGGATGAAAGAAAGGCAGGCTGCGCATTCTCGATGTGCCTAGATGTCATTTTGAAAAGTACGCTATGCTTCAAACATCTTTAGATTATTCGCCTTCAACTCCACTGTCACTGTCAGTGAGCACAATTTCTCTTCCGTTACATCCTTCAACAACCAGCAGGCTAGTCATGTAGGCGGGAGCCGCCAGTCCTGAGAGAACCAGAACGCCAAACCTTTGACGCCTATTGCTGAGCCGCGGCCAAAGACCGCCATGCTTATCACGGGGAAGGTAGACCGGCTCAGATTAGCCACCACGGTGGCTGGCGCATGAATAGTTGCACGCCCCGGCGGATGCAGGGTGCAGTCATTGATCGGAAGCGTGGTGGCCGGAGTTACACCGCTCCTGGCCACCATGAGGACGAAAATGACGACACCAACCAAAAGCCAAACGGCTGCTGACATCGCACGATCATCGTTCTCGATCGGAGACGCCATCAGCGGATGGTAAGGCGCAATCCAGTATACCAGGGGAAAGATCATCAGAGCGCTTCGCCAGATCTTGATGGTGCCGAAGCGGTCTTGAAGCATCGGGTATACGCTCAACTGGACCAGTATGCCCAGGGCGCCTGTCATTGACATTGCCGACCCATCCTTGCGTGGATGCATGCCGAGCCCACCATTGAACCTGAAGACGTTTGTTCGTTCGGCGACCTCTGGATGTGGCATGCTCAGAAAGACCGCCCAGAGAATAGGAAAGGTCCCCACGTGCCCAGATACGATGAATTGAGACAGGAGGGTACAGACAACGTTCGAGGTCCACATGCGACGGAAAGCTAGCTTCCGCCTCTGCTTCGAGTATGTTGAGACCCTCGAGAGCACTTCCGGACGTGACACAGGAGGCCGTGTCGGAGTGTCTGTGCTGATGGCGCCATAACCTGACCGCCTGATATCGCCTCGGGAGGAACGGCGGCGTGATGTGTAGGCGTGAAGGCGTGGTTCGTCGAGTAGACCACAAACGGCCAATGCGACTGAGAAGTGCAATGAGGCGACAAGGAAATTCGGGATGCGAAAAGGATATGAATCTTCCGAGAGATCAGCTTCCTCCGGCCTTAAGAAGCCACCAATGAGGGGACTGATAAAATTGCTGGCGTTGGCAAAAAGTGGCAAGAGGAGTAGCGCCCGTGCACGGTGTCTATCCCAGTAGGCAATCATCAACAATCTGTCCATGAGGCCCGGGAAAATGAGCTGACCTTTTGTCGGTATGTCTCTCTGCCACCACACATCTCGTGACCGCAATGTTATTGCTGAGTGCCACTCCCAAAACTTGCCAAGCGACCGCTTCAGCGAACGTCTTGGATAATCCGAAGCCAAAGTATGAAACGGCTGTTGAATGGATTAGAACATCCCATAGATGGGAAAAAGAATAATAGGCAAAATAAAAACTGCAGCTAATCAACCCAATAAGTAGTACATGTCTCCTTCCTCCCCAGTCTGAGTCGGCAATGCGACCCCAGAACATGCCGGTGCCGACACGTGCTAAAGTCTTGGCGCTTATTAGCAGGCCAGCTTGGAGAATTGCGTGCCACGGTGCGGGGGAATTTGCGGCCTCGATCTATCCCTGGCTGGAGCCCCAGCCCCGTTACAGTTCGCGTCGACGCCAAGAGCCAAGAAATGGCCAGGAAGAAGAGGCAGCCACCCGAATTCTCCTAGGAACTCTTTCATGTCAAGGATAGATGGCCATTGAATGAACCATACAATACTAAATGACTAAGTCCTGCTAGACGCAGCTCCGTGACTGTAGGTGGTCTGCGCTCACCTGAAGCATGATTTCGGAGCTCCAATGGAGACGAATCACCGGCGTTCCAGAACAGGTAATTGATTCACCCCTCCATTCGGATGACTTGGCCTTGAGTGTTGACTCCATCCAGGGATGCGTGAATTGTCGAGCTATTCGCACCAAATGCGACGAATTAAAGCCAAAATGCCGCCGATGTGCGAATCGTTAAGTAGTCTGCAAAGGCTACGCCAGGACGCTGAGATGGGTTGCTAAAGCACCGCCGACGACAGCTTCCACTCGAAAGCAAGGTTTGGAGATCGTGATTCGAAAGAAACAAGCTGAAAGCATCCCGGAATACCATGCTCCACCCCGGCTGCAAAGATTGAAGATTGTGTCCACGGTGCATCCCCTGGACGCTCTTGATCGAGCGCTCCTCGAGCACTGGATGATGATAAACATTCATCTGGTCTGCCTTGACCCGGACGCTGCACATTATCTTGGGCAGATGTATTATAATCTTACCTCCAAAGATGGGTCTCTCGCCTTACAGGCGATACTATCAAACTCGGCCACCCACCTTTTGTCTCTTGGAAGGATACCTAAATCGACCTTTATCGTCTTGCAACAACAAGCGTTCAAGGCGTTACGATGCTCGCTGAAGAAGTTCGACGCGGAGTCAAGTATGCTCACCAGCGATGGAATGCTACTCCACGGTCACCACATGCCATTCTCATCTCTCGACGATGATGCCATTGTCGGTTCTTTGCTGTTGGTCGACGACGAAATCATTCTGCCTAACGACAGTTATGGTGGAGTCCGACTGCAGTTTCTTCTCTTCAGGGCGCGTATTCCTTAGTGACAGAACGGCACAAATACTTTATGTGTTCGTGTCCATGCCGCCATTCTGCACGGTCACACCCACACTATAGGCTGGACAGTCCTTTATTTCAATCTTCAGTGCGGTCGTTGGCATGGGCAGACATCATGTCGTGTGTCCCATGCGCGAGACCTCCCATTCTGGACAAGAGACTCTGGCTTAAAGAAGTAATTCAGACGTCCCGCGAGGGTGCTCGAAAATTCCGACCTAATAATGAGCTGGGTTGCTGTGCCCAGGTACTTTCCTTGCTGGGTGATTGTACGACTGCTATTCACAGTTTGTATACGCAAGCAATCTCAGAGGGAGAATTTGCCCAGACGAGGAGCTATCTTCATCAGCAGCTCGACGAGGCGATGACAGCACTCTTACGCCCTGACGACGATGGCAACCGTAAGCCATCGCGCAATGACTTGGCATTCGTCGCCCTGGTTCAAAATGAAGAGTTGGACGGGATTGTTTACTCCATTGCGTCAGTTCGAGCAAAGCTTTAACTCAAGATTCCAATACCCCTGGATCTTCTTCAATAACGATCCTTTCACTCCTGGATTCAAACGTCGGACGGCCTTAGAGACCCAGGCGCCATGCTTTTATGGTAAGCGCTTCTATCGTCTCCGCCACCACGGATCGGACTACGTCATTTTGTGTGGCCGTTCGTATCTTCAATCTTTGAAAGTATCGCTTCGGTCCATGGCAGCTGATGCTCATTACTTGTGTTAGTACAATAGAGCAGATCCATAGGGAGCCAACGGATGGCGGAGTGGCATTTTTAATGGGTCAAACACCCGTCGGACTTGGGCTATCACCAAATGTGTCGATGGTATTCAGGAATTTCTACAAACATCCGGCATTTGACAACATTCGGTATTATTGGCGGGTGGAACCGTGGATCCAGTATGTCGTCCTGGGGCGAAGGTCCTCTGGCAGACTTCTCTCGGTGCTGATGGTCACTCTCGCCCTAGGTTTTTCTGCGCCGTCGAGTACGACGTGTTTCAATACATGTCGGATAACTACAAAGTCTACGGATTTACACTCAAGGTATACGACGATCCCATGACCCTGCCGTCGTTATGGCCGCAGACACTTGATTTCATCGCCGCAAACCCTCAACATCTCAGCCATCGTATGGCTTGGAATTGGCTCACCCACAGCACATGGCGACCAGAACACAATGCCCGGGCTAATGGGTATAGCACGTGCCATTTACGGAGTAAATTCGAAATTGGCGACCTCGAATTCTGGCGACTCTGCCTACGAGTCTTTCTTCCAGGCTTTGGATCGAACGAGCGGGTTTTCTATGAACGATGGGGAGACGCACCGGTCCACAGCATCGCGCTGGGGCTTTTCACGAATGTCGCGAGAATTCACTGGTTTGAAAACCCCATCGGGTGGAAGCCCTGCTCGTATGATGTTGCTCGCTGACGCTGCGTACTAGGTTTCGGGAGATATCGGCTACCGTCATACTTGTCTACGCCAATTGCCCCGCTTCGGATCGATGTCAGGGCTGCCAGGCCAACAACTTTGCGCCGGTGGCGTGTTGGCTCAATGAGGAAGACTGCCGAGTAAATTGGCTACAACAGTGTGCCAAGATAATGCTGCGGAGCATAGCCATATTTGTCCAAGTGTGTATTAGCGGTCTCACGTCCCAGTCGTCTGACACCCCCGCAGGCATACCACGGCTTCAAACACTGTATAATTGATTGCCTTGATCCTCCTGGTCTTGTTCAAAATCAGTCTCCCATCCATAGTTCATCTTCCGTGACGCGTTCGTGTGAGCTGCCTCCGGCGTCAGAGGGAGAGAGTTTTAATTTAACCCATAACATTCTGTAACGGCCACCGAGCATGAGTGCGATCTAGTGGTGCCACAATTAGACTGCGCGACATCGAGCATAAGTGGCCTCGTCCCAGGTCATTGCGTTTGTGGTTGAGCCTCTGGGGAGATTGCCTTTGTGCTTTTTCTTTGACAGTCTTCTTGAGCCTGATGGAGTTATAGAGTACGACAGAGGTACTCTCACCCAAACTGTTGGCGCGGCTGTTTGAGCGATAGTACCGCTGCTTTGTTTCTTGTTAGCAGCGCGATTCTGCGAAACCAGAGGGTTGGGAACAGGCTCGGGGCTCACGCCATCGATGCTAACTCTCCTGAGTACGGGCTTGTTGTGATCCTGTGCTGGTTAGAGAGTAGAAGATCCTGAGTAACTGCTCCTGGTAGAGGGTGATAGGCGAGTGAACGTTGCGCAAACCTCTTGCGACCTGCCAGTTCCTAGGAGAGTTTTGCGCACCCTTCATATCCAAGACCGTTCATGAGCATCAGATAAGGAATCTGCTTCTACCCCTTCTCAAGAAGTAAGTCCGCTTAGCCACGCTTGATACACCTCATCTCGGGCTATGTATAAACAATCGACCATGGTATTTTCTCCTCCTTCACCGCCACCATTTCTTTCCCCACCCGCCCTTCCTGGGGCCCCAATTGTCCCTCGTGACAGCATCGACATCATCCACACTCAAATAATCTACACCTTCACGGACAAGCACGCGCCAGATGTAATTGCGCAAGCCGACGGGCCAGGCCGGAATGCCCCATTACCGGACTTTCAGGCCGCGGCTGTGGGCGGCATGAATCTGTCTGCGCAGGAGGTCGAGTTGAGCTTGGGATAGAGTCGAGTGCCAGGGATAGCCGATTGATCGGACGAAGGAGACGGATGCGTAGTAGGAGTTAGCGGGAGAGTAAATTGCCGCGTTCTGTGGATAGTAAGGCGCGTCGATAAGGGAAGAGTCATCTGCGTCGGTGGTATAGTGGGGTAAGGATGCCGTTGGTCCTCTGCTACCCGGCAATGAGGCCAGAACATCGAGCGGAGCGTCGTAGAAAACATCTCGGTAGGTTGATCTTTGCACAATGCGACCAAAAGGGGCTATTCCGGAGGCGACGATAGTCAAAGGACCTTGAACGACCGCGGTGCCGTTGAAGTAAGTCAGGTATTTTTTGTCCCGGAAGTAGCTTAGATGGGACTCCAGGCGGCGCCAAATGCGCTGGGGGTCGTTTTTGAAATCGATTAGTAAAACAAGAGTTTGCATCGGACGAGTGGCGAAGACCCCGTTGCGTGTCTCATCCAGTGGGCCGAGAAAGTTGGGAAGCTGGTTTTGGCGGTTGAGAATGTCCGTCAAAGGATCGAGGTAAAGGTTTTTTAGGGTTCGATTTTGGCGGATCCCTAACACGGTGTGCGTCACGTAGAGCTGGTCGTCGAAGTACCAGACGTCAGCTTCAACTCCTGTACAACCTGCCCGGAGAGCTTGGTAAAGGGGTTCTCGACGCCAGTAATCATTATGGGAATGGCACATCAGAGGCTGAACGTCTGTGGTGGGATCCTCTGACCATGTCCCGGGGCTTCCAGGTGTGATTAATACATCCCTAAAAGGCTTTGAAACGAGGTCGAAGTCATCTGGAAAGAGAGCGTTCAGAACGCCGAAGACATAGGCGACGCATTGCAATATTCCTCTGAGAAATGTTAGTGAAAGTTGGGGTTATGATGCTCTACACTCACAGAAGCATCAAAGATAGTTTGAGTAGATTCACTACCTTTGACAAAGATCGTGAAGCAGGTCGCTTCTGTTTCCTGACTAATAACCACGGTTGCCCTGAACCTCGTTTGTCAGGAGACCTACTCGAGGATGGAAAGGCTGGTATCTTCAAAGCCAGAGACGGCCGTGAAGGACGACTCTGACTCTGACCGGCATTTTCGGGGCAGCCTGTACTTGACCCATGAGTCTGTTCATACCGTCCCAGCTCGATGTCCTCGCCCGTAGCAGATCCAGTCTCATCAATCGTGAATTGAAAGCGCCCAGTGTCCTGCACGGGTCTGTTGTATCTCATAGGAAGCATATCGGCTGGACAAACTTGGAAGTTGACTCCTCATAGACCAAAATTCGGGGACAATTTGCCTGCTAAAGGCTCTGACGCAGCGAGCGCGAGCTGATAGAACAGATTAAGCATGTTTTCTGGCTCCGAGGTGTTTGGCGGAGAAGGGTGGCAATGCAGGCGCTAGTGCGATGAAGTGGAGCCTGACCGGCCAACTTCTGTGTAACGTTCCACCGAGTATCATCGAATCCTTCCTGATGATAGTCTTGATCACTGGCCACAAATCGATTGAAGAAAAGAAACGAAGGGAGCTTCTATTACTCTATGAGAGGCGTTCGCGACTCTCGGGCTATGTCAAAATGATTGAAGGGCTGCAGAATGAGTCCACACTCGGCTCTAAAGGCAAAGAAGCTGTTATTGATACGACTTTGACACCAATCCTCTCCGAATGAGCGTGGAATAGCGGCAAGAGTTAAGACGGAGATGCTTGTATTTGTGGACTTCAACAGACCAAATACCACCATGAGCATGACAGCACACTCTCGGAATTTCAACAATTCCTCGTGGATGTAAATAGCGACAGGGAGCAGTAGTAGAATAGATAGAGCACAGAAGAAAATATTGACTATTCAGGTCAGCAAAGTCTTTAAACAGTTACGATTCCAGAAATATCTAACAGGTTTTTTGCCCTCAAATTCTCACTCCTTTCCATGTCTGTAGAGCATATACCGTTTGCACGGGGATTGCTAGCACATCGAACCGCAAGCAGAACGAAACTTATCCGGATTGAAGTTGCCCTCGCATACCTACCAGTCGTAGAGTCTGATTAGAGAGGGTAAGGTCCTGCATAGATTGGAGATCTGTAGATGTGTAATGTTCCATTTCGATGGCGGCACCGGACGGTATGGCAATACCGAGGAAAATCAGATCGTTGATGATTCGAAGTTGTATTGGTCGAACTATGGCAGACTCGAGAAAGCGGTGTTTCTTTGGTGTGAGAAAGTTGCAACGTGTCCGCAAAGAGGAGGGCGGTTTCGGGAACTGACAGAAGCTCTCGAGCACGTCTCTGCAAGTCACCGGCAGCTGCAATCGAAAATGTCTGTACTCAATTCGAGTGACGTCGAATTTGCACATTTCCGTAGATTAACAAACGGCCATGCTAAATTCGTTACACTTTGAGGATCTGTAAGACCCGAGACAAAGTGCGCACACTTCGAGAGGCCGACGCGCGTCGCATCCCAAGAAATTCCCTAGACCCGACAGGGGACGCGCGGTAGCGTCGGGAACCTCCGACGTCAGTGTTAATCAACTATAGCCAAAACATCGGGACGTGCGTGCAACACCTCGTCCCCAGCGCAGCTTCAAATCTTCCCCGGAGGGAGACGCAAGATCATCCCACGTGCGAAGGTCCGAGAGAAATTCAAGACAATTGCACCCACACAGCGACACGCCGCTCCACACGCCTCGCATCTGGCACTCCGTTCTCCTTCCATGACATCGAACCCGACGAAGATAAGGAAGATAAAGAAGAAAGAGAAACAACCCTGCAGAGACTCGTCAAATTGGTTAGCGATCTGAAGGGAACGATTGAGCATTAAGGTACTATTATCGAGAACACTCAGACCTCAATTAGTGGCGGTTAGAGAATAGTAATGCATCGTTCAGTAGTCAAATCCTGTCTGGCGTGGGTGATTCGTGGCGAGGCATTAAGCTTTTGCAGAGGCGGATTCTAGTGCCTTGGCTTTACGCGTATTTAACCCCACCGTTCTGATTACGTATGCTCGTGCTCTTCTTTGCTGGAGAACTCCTGTCACTCACCACCTTCAAGTGGTGGAATGCTTCTGCGACGAATCTGTGTAGCGGCCCTTCATTTTCAGCCAATCGTTAAAATCTTCAGTCTTTGAAGGCTCGGGATCACGACCTGCTTCTCCACGTCAATTGCCTGCTGAGATGAATATATCTCTTCCTCAATGAACTCTCACGATATGCTGCTCGAGGGCTACGAGCTATCACGAACGAGTACGCAATCCACAAAAGATCAAGAAGCGTTCTTTCTCCACGATGAGCGCGATAACTTTCAGCCTTCTCGCTTCCCCGGCCAGGATGCGTTAAAACAAGCATTCCAATTTTGCGTCCCCTCAACACGCGCCTGGTTCTGGATCCAACACTACCCAGGACACGCACTGGCGCGAGTCAAGCGTCTCATTCTCTGTCATGTTGGTCTGTCTCGATCGTTCTTTCGACGAGCCGCCTTGATTGCCTGTACGTCACTTTCAGCGATTGTGATTGTTGTTATTATCACGGCAATCTTTTTTCCTCATTATACTCGCCTCCCTCCACACTATGAAATGTTACGTGAACGAGCTTTGGTCTCTGAATACCCTGGACGCGGGAATCTACAAAGTCAAAGGGTCTTCATAGCAGCAAGCATTTATGACAAGGATGGTACAGATGGTTCACTCGCCGGTGGGCCTTGGGCCCAGAATGTGCTCGACTTGATCCAATTGCTAGGCCCAAAGAATTGCTTTCTATCCATCTATATGAATGACTCAGGGCCAGCGGCAAAAAAGGCACTGGAAGGGCTCGAAAAGCGCATTTCGTGCGACCACGAGTTAGTTTTCGAGGAGCACATGGAAACTAACAACCTACCTCACGTCAAAGCTCCAGACGGATCAGAACGCCTGAAGCGCATTGCGTACCTGGCCGAGGTTAGAAATCGAGCTCTAAAACCACTCGACCATCTCAACACCACCTTCGACAGACTTTTGATCTTGAACGATGTCTTTTTCCACCCAGTTGACGCTGCACAGCTGTTGTTCTCCACAAACATCACTCCAGAAGGCAGCACCGACTACAGGGCTGCGTGTGCGGTGGATTTCATCAATCCGTTCAAATTTTACGATACTTTCGCGACCAGGGATATCGAAGGATACGAAATCGGACTACCTTTTTTTCCGTGGTTTTCCGCGAACGGGGGCAAACAAAGTCACCGGGCCATGCTCAAAGGAGCGGATGCCGTGCCAGTCAAAAGCTGTTGGGGTGGGATGGTGGCGTTCGATGCGAGATTCTTCCATCGCCGACATGGAATTCATGATGAGCCAGAAACAGCCGGACAGCGAAGTCCGGACCACCTCTCCGTCCCGTATCGATTCCGCGCGGAGAAGGAAGCTTACTGGGATGCTTCAGAGTCTTGTCTCGTTCATGCGGATATCCAAAGCCCCGAACCCGGCAATTCAGGGATTTACGTGAACCCCTTCATCCGGGTTGCGTATGACCCCCGAACCCTTTCTTTACTGAGCCTAACTCGACGATTCGAGCGTCTATATACGCCAATCCACACTATGCTTGATACGTTGATGAGACTGCCAAGATCTAATCCCCGAAGGCACGAAGAGCCAGGCAAAAGAGTCGAAGACAGAATTTGGGTTGCAGACCAGAGTGGTGGCTCTTTCCAAGACGTCGTGAGAATTACTACGCATACCGGCTTCTGTGGCATCCGGACCTTGCAGGTAATGAAATTGAACATGGCAGAAGGGGAGGATAATTGGGAGCCTCTACCGGTGCCCTCATGACTTACGAGCCAAAATGGTTGACAGCGCCATACAAAGTGATGGCCGGCTCCGTTCGCGAGAAAGACAGTGTCGAACTGCAGCCGAGACAACGACGGGATGTCGTAGTGGCAATAGACGATCGTAGACGAAAAGGATCAACATGATAGAAGACCGATGAGAGAGGGGTGCAAGCTAACCAAGGTAGAGTGGTAGGAAGCGCTTGAGACGGACCAGCATAAGTAATATAAGACCAACAATCCGAGTGCAGATGGTATAGAGAATAGCATAGGAATAGCATAATCGTTACCTACAACCTCGAACACCACTTGAGCTTTACAAGGAGGAATGACCGATCTTCGTTGAATAAATGTCTCGCGCATAGTCCGATAGGTATATCATTTTCCTTATCGAGAGTTATTAATTTACAGAGTGCCCTACCTAAACCAGGTAGCGACCTAAATACTTTTAATGAGCAGCTTGATGCCGAGATACCTTAGCTTCTTAAATCACTCTCTCATATAAGAGCTAATCCATGCTGATTATTTAGTGTTAGCATTTTTCACATTAGCTCTAACGCAGGCCTACCCGCCGGCGCGACAAAACCCACCGATAGGGGGCGAGAATCCGGGGGCGGTGGGTTTCGTCAGTCCGTCTTCCTTAATTTTCGCTCAGAACCCACCAGGCCTTTACCCGGTTTTTTCGGCCGGCGGCCTCTTAAGATTGGTGACAGTAGATAGCCCGCTTTTTTTTCTTTCTTTAGCCTCCTCTCTTCTCGCCACATCATTAACCTTAAAAACCTGAGTTACCTAGGTAACCTAGTGAGGGTCCCGCTTAAAACGAATGACTAGACACTTAATTCACTTAAAACTTAATGAGATTATAAAGGGCCTTTCTTTAAACGCTATAACGCGGTTAACACTATCACTATTATCCTTTTTACCTCGAATATAACGGGATAAATAGGACACAGGTTATCCTTATTAAGACAAGCGATTTAACTTAATACTAAACACTAAAGAGAGACTTTCTAAGTTAACTTTTTCGGCTAAAGGTGTTCATTTTAGTACTCTCTACCCCCCCCTAGGAGTCTTATGAAAATTAAATAAGGAGCCATGGAGTTAGAGCGACTTATTACTCTTTACGGCTGTTAATAGTTAAGGTTAATCTCATAGCTAAGCCTTATTATATTTAGGCCCTAATTATTTTTTTCTTTCCCCGCGCTCTTCACTACTGTCGCCACCCCTAGAAACCCTCTTTTAATCACATCTAAATATTTTAACCTATACCCCTAACCTAGATTAAGCCTAGCGTTAATATTTTTAAGGTAACTAGGAATATAGCGGTCTTATTAAGTTTAACCTAATAGCGCCCTTAACATTACCCCCTGTGCCCTATTTTAGTTGAGTCCTGCCTTGATTTTTTTAAGGCCAGACTTATAAATGTTAAGGGAAAGAGATAGGTACGATGAAGTAAGTGGGTATTCCGGGCTTATCAGTCATAATACTATCTAAATATAGGCGCCCACTATTCACTATCACATGATGTAGGTAGTCCCTTAATATTCACTATTTATACCTATACCTAGTCGCGCGCCATTCACTATAGTATGGCACCGGGGGCCTCCTAAGATACATTGTGAGGCGCTTACACGCGGCTTAACGTAACTACTAAGTCAGGCCTCATATTTAAACCCTCTCCACTCGCTCTAACTAACCTTCTCCTCTTTTATATCTTTCTATCACTTAAGTAAGTTAAGCCCCTCAATCTTTTCGGGGCCTTTCTCTCTCTCTCTCCTCTCTTTACTCACCCTCTTATTAGCCCCTCTTTTCCCTTAATCTTTTTAAGGTAAGGTTAGTAGAGAGTGCCTTAAAAAGATTGAGGCCCTCCTCGCAGCACTTATAGTAAGACTAACTTAAAAAAATCTAGCTAACACCCTTTTAAATTAATCTAAGATATTATCCGCACCTAGCACCCCCTCTAAGTCCCCTTAGTCAAAAAAATTAACTATAGGCCCGGTCCTTTTAATCCTTCCCCCGCCTAATACCTTACACATTAAATAGTAAGTTTATAGTCTTTTATTTCGAGGCGCACACGTGCTAACTCAAAAAAACAGAGCTAAGGCTAAGGAGTGATGTGAGGATAGCTATGGCCGCCTACACCGCCCGTCCATTAATAAGCACTTCACCCCGGAGAAGAAGCTAAGGTAGAGTCTTTTTTTTCGGGCCGCGGGGAAGCCTAACTAACTCATTTTTTCCGGGGTAGTGCTCACTTTTAGCGAGGCAAAACTAATGTAGCTATACGCACTAAGTACTAATTATGCTACCATGGTGGCAAGGTAAGTTAGCTCAAAAAAAACGAACCCTATTAACCCTAAACTGACTCGTTTTTTTCTAGTTATGTTCTATAGCTATTAATAAGGCCGTCTACAGCTATAAGCTTAATTTATTACTCGCGTATAACTATCTAGTTAAGGTAAGTAGGGCCCCACTTAAAAGTTTTAAGCGCTGACCTAAAAAACCCTAGTACGCTTTACTTAAGAAGTGCCTTATAATATATAATCTCTACCCTAAAAGCATTAAGAGTAAGGTACGAAATTCTTGACCCTAGCCTCAAAAAAAACTAATGGAGCCCCGCAGGATAAGGAGTGTGCCGGCTTAGTCAGCATTTATTATCATAATATACTTAAGGTATATAGTGCTCCGGCCTAGCCTCAAAAAAAACTAATTTAGTCCCTTAGTTCTATAAGATACTTATCTATAACGAAGATAACGCCGCTAACTAGGAGATAAGCCTCACTTTTACCTAGTCACACCTCAATTTTTACTAATATAGACCCACAGTTTTCGGTTAATAAATTAGTTATGAAGCTAGAGTGTAGAGACTAGGAGTTTTCCCTCTAAGGGTGCAGCTTAAGGCTCGTTTTTTTAAGTGACTGCGGAGTTTTCTTAGGGCGGTGCGCCTAGAATATACTAGGGTCATTTTTTTCTGGCCTAGTAAAATAATAAAGTGAGAAGCTTTTACTTAATTTTATTAAGTCACTATGGCAGAGCTTTCGCTTAACTTTTTTAAGCTAGTAAATAATAGAAAATGCTAAGTCCTTAGTGGGTCTTCTTTTTTGGGGCCTCTACGCCCGCCTAGATAAGTTTAAGGCTTACCTCGAAAAAAATAAGGCGCTATTATTCCTATTATTCTGTCTACTTAGGGTAGATAGCGGACAAAAATATTGCCCGGCTCGAAAAAATTAAGGCTAGCCTTATAAGTATTAAGGGTAAGTAAGAGAAGAGAAAGAGAAAGAAAAGTGATAATAATAGAATAGAATAGATATGGTGAAGGGATTAAAAGGAGATTAAATTAATTAAAGGTAAGTAATAGACTAGGCCAGAAGATCTCATTTTTAATTTAGCTCTTTATATAAATAAGAGATTAAATCCTATTATAAAAAGGGGCTATTAGTGTAGTGATAACACATTAAATCTCTAAGTCTATAGAATTCTAAGTCTCTAGCTTAATTAAATCTAGAATAGTTTATCTTTATGTATATAGGGTCTAAGTATTTTCACCTAAATTCTCTATATATAAGGCCCTCTTTTTTCTTAGTGACGCCAGCTTAATTCGAAAGAAATTATATTTTAGTGCTAATAGGGTAGAGTATATTTTATTAAGTAATAAATTAATACTTAAATTAAAAGTCTATATCTTTTAGTGCCTATTTCCTCGTTTTTTTCCTGGTATTACACGATATTTATGGCTCTAAGCGCGTTAAAATATTAATATACCTTAATACTTTCGGTTCTAAATAGAGTTATTAGACATTAACTTAGATCCTAGAACTATAGCGTTAATTCCCTTAAACCTTATATATCGATATTTCTAAGGCCTAACTCTTTAAGAGCGAAGAGATACACTCTTTACTAAAGAATATACTTATAAATAACAATAAAGGCCTTAATAATTCTAGAGTATAGACAGATATTCTTAGCTAAACCCTTAAAATCTTTAAGGCGTTTATAGACTTATAAGAGTAGAAGGTAAGTGAAATAATAGCTTCTACGCACTAGCTCTTAACCCTATAAGAGTTAAGAAGTGAGACCTTACATTTAATTCTATAAAGATAGCGTTATAACTTTATAAGACCCTAAGATTATGAGGGCTGTAGAGTCTCGCTAGCCTGCGCATATATCTAGAGAATAAGTAAAGTACTTATTAACATTTCCGAGTAGGAAATAGAAAAGACACTCTAACCGCCTAAATATATTAACTAAATCCTTAAACTAGGCAAGCTTAACATTCATTTTCTATATGGCCTAACCTTCTTTATTTACCTACTAGTTAAGAATATCTTACTCACGTTAATAGAGATAGTAAAGTCTCACTTTTTTTGAGGCCCTTAAGTTATACATAATATAGTTCCTAATATTTATATTATTTAGAAAGTGACTAATAACCTATTAAACACATTAATCCTTATTTAGTAATTTTTAAAGGACTAAGTAATTAACTAATTTAAACTAGTTAATAGTTAAAATTTGCGAGAGATTTAGCTGCGCGTATAACTCGCGCACCTTTATTTTTAGTATCTCGCTCAGTTTTTTCTGAAGAATAATTAAGATCCTGTCTTAACGAATTTAACTTAAGCCTTAAATAAAATTAACGAGACCCCCTAAATACGGCAAGATATATAGGGTAAACTTCACTATACTAAAGTTAACTTTAAGCGCTAACGCACTAGTGATAAAAAGTGCTAATACACTATTATCTGAAAGAAATGAGCGTAGAATTAAATCTTTCTTAAGGTCTTTAGTATTATAAAAGGGCAGACTCAATTTTTTTAAGAGTATTATTCCTAGTTTATACGTTAGAACAAAAATAATGGCCTTCCCTCATAAATATAGACCTTTATGCCGGAATTATTTAAGTATGTAATTAATATTATTAGGGGTAATATAATGGTTAATATTTACGATCTTATACTTAATCTCCTTATAAATAGTCTAGGCTTAAATGATTTAATTAATACCCTA